GTTAGAAAATAGTTTAACATTTCTGGTAATCTAAGGCATGCAAATTGTGTGTGTGTGTTTTGCCTTTTAAACACGTGATAATTACCAAATGATAGTGACCTGTTTGTCAGGTTGCAGCAGAAAACAGATCCTCGTATATTGCTGGAGGGAATAGCAATTTAAATAATTTTTCTGGAGGGCAGTTTAGCATTATGGGTCAAAAAACCTTCAAATGGATATTCCCTTCGAAGATGTAGACTGTCTTCTACCAATGTGGGCTAAGGAAATAGTAAAGGAACTGAAAATTTAGATGTAATTTACATGTGCAACCAGAGGATATTGGTTGAGTAAATTATTGCCTATCCATATAATTGAATAAAATGGAGGTATTGGAAAATGAGATAGTAGAAGTGTAGTAATTGACATGAATATGTTCAGGGTACAGCTTGACATAACTCACGAGGCTGTCATGCTGGAGAGGTAGGCAGGATCCAGAGCAAAGAAGGCTTTGTCCGCCATCCTAAGAACCTTGAGCTTTTTCAGTAGGTAGTGGCAAGCCGTGGAAGCATTTACAATGGCAGATCAGAGAGACCTTTTAGATAGATCCCTCTTACAGCAGTGTGCCTGGAGGCAGGAGACCAGTAAGGAGATTATTGCAGTGATCCTGAAAGAGATGATGAGGGCCTGAGGGTATGAAGTGGATCGAGTTATAGGACCAACTTTGGGCAGCCCAGGGAGTTAATCTTCCTTATGGTGGGTAACAGTCATAAGCACTTGGCCTCAGCGATCCCCAGATAGCTGTGTGCCATCACAGGAGGTGGTGACAGGAGAACTGAAGCTTGGGGAGGTTGTGTGCTAGGCCAAACACGACTCTCCTGTACCTCTCTCACTCTCTGTTTCCCTTTCATTTAGTTTGCCCATATCCCTTCATTGCTTACCTTGGCTAGCCTCTCATTTAGGATGGCCTGTGGTCAATGGCCCTCCTTCCCAATTATATTTCTCATAGTACTAACACTTGTTCCAGTGTACAAAAGCTATCTTCTTTAAGAGTTATGAAAATGGGGATTGTTGAATGTAACACTGGGGTGGAGAAGGAGTGGATGGGAGGCTGAACAATGGTGGCAGTGAACTTGGGGCTGATATGACTGGGGGAACAGGAATGGGAAGCAGGCCAGGTGTTGACTGAGAGGTTGGGTAGGGAAGGTGGGAACCTGGAACCAGAGAGATTCACAGGTAGAGGATGAACTGGGATAACAGCTGGTGCCTAGATTGGATGCTTAGGAAAGAACTAAAGGTTAGTACAGGGATCTTTCCTGAGGAAGCTGAGAGAGTGTGTGGTTTTGAATGGAACCTGTGGAGTTTTCTGGGAAAACCAGCCAAAAAAGACCTCAGTTTTATAAGGATTACAAGTGCCCATCAGACCTGGGGATGAGGCAGGCAGAAGCTATAATGAACCTGTCTTTGGGACTCTGAAACTCACCTGTGTAAACGCAATTTGCTGTCCAGTTGAGTTTGTGTTTTGAGATGTCTCACACTGTAGAGAGTAGATCTTATGAGTTGGCTGATGGCACAGGTGTGGGGCTGTTGGGGTGACTCCCTGTGTGCCATGTGGTCAAGGGCTAGGGCTAGAGTCTAAAGAAAAGGAGCTCCCATGAGCCCTGGTCTGTGTCAGGTGTGAAGTGGAAAGTGCATTGAACTGGGAGTTAGGGGACCTGGGTTCTCGTCAGAAAGCTTGTCAGAACCTTTTCCCCTCTGTTTCCTCACCTCTGAAATGGGGTTTAATAACATGGTCCTGCCTGCCTCCCAGGCGATGGCAAAGTGGAAGTGCTCTGTAGCACTTCTCTGTATGCTACCTGCTCATGCCTTTTGTTTTAGGTGCTGATATGGGCAGATTTCAGCGTGAATGCAAACTGCCATGTTGGTACTGGGGTATGCTCAGTTACATTCTCATCTTTGTACCATCCTTGTTTGAACTTCTAAGTCTCATCTCTTCCTATTTGCAGCCAAAGTGATAGTTTAGCTTTTTACCTCCTAGTCTAAAAATGCATGCCACCAAAATTTTCAGGCAGTTGGAAGCCAAGCAAAGAAGAAAGCAGGGATATTCAGGCCAAGGCTGGGGGCCCTTGCACCTCTGAATTAAAATGTTAGTTCCATGTGGCTCTGTTGGCTAACGTTGAATATGAATGTGACTCTAGCATGACAGGGTGAAGAGGTTCAGTATCATAAATCTGAGAAGTTGCTAAAGGAGGCAATGAGTTTACTGGAAATGGAATATAAATAATCAGGAATCCCCAGATAACTGTGTACCATCATAGGAGGTGGAATGTAATGTAATAAGTAATCTTTCAATCAGATACATTTAGTTATATCAAGTCAGCAGATTTGAAAAAGGACCCTAGAGGCCAGGCACAGTGATACACCTGTAATCCCAGCACTTTGGTAAGCTGAGGCAGGAGGATTGCTTGAGGACAGGAGTTCGAGACCAGCCAGGGCAACATAGTGAGACGCTGTCTCCACAAAAAATAAAAAATAAAAAAATAAAAAAAGTTAGCCGGGTATGGTGGTGCACACCTGTAGTCCCAGCTACTCGAGAGGCTAAAGCAGGAGAATTGCTGGAGCCTGGAACCCAGGAGTTGGAGGGTGCAGTGAGCTATGATTGCACCACTGCACTCCAGCCTGGATAACAGAGTGAGACTGTCTCCAAAAAAAAAAAAAAAAAAAGATATGCTCTATACTGCTATGCTGGTGATAGAAATAGGCAAGACAGAAAAGATGAAAGAACTAAAGTTAGATCCATGACTGATGGAGGATAGCAGGACAACCAACTGGGTTGAAACTGGAGGCTTGTTCTCTTTGGTAGTTTTCTGAGCTTCTAGCCTAGGAAAATTGTGGATCAGAACCAGCCAAATGGACTTGTAAGGGAAATCTGTGCCCTAAAATCTGCTTGCCTCCTCTTGTCTGTGGGTATAGAAAAGTAAGATTTAACTGTGGTGCCCAGTGTTGCATTTTTACTTCTCTGTTTAGCATGTTGGAAGTGTCTTGGGTATTCCAGAAGCTCAGGAAGGCTGCTGGCATGACTCTGGTGACTCCAGAAGTATTGAGGACCTTTCTAAGGTGGTTGGGGCCCCTGCCTCTTCTCTGTGTACTGTAGCTTCTGAGTGTAGACTTTGATGGGCCTGATGCTGGGTAACTATGTGCAGCCTCCAACTTGGTCCCTTACCTAAGGTGAGTAACTTTACTGCTGGATCAAGGGTAAAGAATATTAGCTTTGTTTATTTCTTGGACTGCTCCTGAGGGGTGGGATGGGGAGTGGGGATAAGTCAATGTTTGGATAATTGAAATTTCAAGTCTGTAATCCTTATCTAAAACCATTAAGATCAGATATATTTCAGAAATCAGAATTTTTTGGATTTCAGAAAGGCCATACAGTGCATGTAGAGTCTTTTACATACACTCCCAGTGTGGTTTGAGGCAGCACCCCACAATTAAATACATTATTATTTTTATGGGAAACATGAATATTCACCATAAGTGGAAGAAACAGTCTATAAATCGTCTCACCTCAATTCAAGTTGTATTTTGCTGTAACATTAGCTTTGAAGAAAACTTTCAGTTTTTAGAACTTTTTGGATTTTGGGATTGCCAACAAAAGATTGTGGACCTGTAATTATCATCGGCTTTGTATTTTTAATGAAATTGATCAAGGGAAAAGGCACCTTCTTGATACGTATTTCCTTTGATGAGGTATCATGCAGGTGATGGTCTCCTGACTGTGTTCTTTTTAAGTCCCTTTCTTATTTTCATTCTTCTTCCTCTTCTTATTGGCAGGGATTCATGCAGGCGTCTTTCCTTATAGTGATTTTTCTTGTAATACCCTTTTCTTCTAAATATGGGCTCTGAGAGAACAGAAGAACCACATACTAAAGAACATACAAGTGACAAAGCCAACAAGTCCATAATACAGATATCCTGTATTAATAAGAGCTCTCAGCAATATAGGGACACATGTCAACGATTTCTAAACCACACCATTCAGTCACTACAGGCGAAGAAACTCCACAAACATGAGTTTCATTCCTTTGTCAGTCCTCAGTTCTGCTGAATGTTTTTGACTCCTGTAGTAGTTCAGTCCAAGGGCAAAAATTCAGGATCTCAGGCTACCAGGAGTGATTCAATCTCCTGGGACATTTGTGAAACATGAGGATTCCTGGAGTCCCATGCTTGGGGAGTCAGAATTCTTAATGGGGGAACCCAGGAATTTGTATGTTTTACAAGCTCTGCATAGGACTTTTTTGTTCCTCTTGATGGTTGAGCACCACTGCATGGGGGAAGGTCAAACTGCCACAGCTGCAGGGTTCCAAAGGCTGTAGTCTGGACCTATGTCACACCAGGTATCAGGGAACTGATTTGTCTATTAGGACAAGGTTCTTTTTGTTTGGTTTTACCTGGGAGGAGAATGGAAGAGTAAAACCACCTAGGCATGTTTAGAAATAAAAGAATCAATCAAAGGGAGGCTTGGAACCTGGGAGTGGCAGTTTGATAGGGTTGCCAGCTAAAATAAATACAGGACAAATTTATACTAAAACTATTCCTTGTTTATCTTCAATTAGAATGTAACTGGGCATCCTGTATTTTTATTTGCTAAATTTGGCAATGTTGAGCATTGATAAACCTACCTTCTCCCATGGGAGGCAAACCAGATGGCATGTGTGCGCGTGTTCCATGCTCAGAATCTATTTTTACCTGCCCTGGGTTAAGTTTAAGACTGACTACTTGTGTCATCTTGAAACTGAAGCATTGAAATACTGAGTCTTCTCACCCTCCTTCTCCCTTTCTCATGTGCACGCACACACACACACATGCATGCATGCAAGCACAAACACGTACCTGTTGCCTTTAAAATTTTTTCTGTTACATTATTGTGTTAGAGTTTTGGTTACTTTTTGTTATTGTTCAAGTAACATTGTCTCACTCTGTCTGGCATTTTTTCTTGCTAACCATTCTTAATTCTTCAATTGCAGATCTTTCTCCTGGCCTGCCCTCCATGTCGGGGAGCTATCGTCGTCTTCAAGTAAGAGAAAATTGACTTTTGCTCTGTTGCTCTTCAGAGTGTTTTTGTCTGTTTGCTAACAAGACTGATAATGCATTGCTGTGAATACCTTGGAACTGTACCATTTTGTCTCTGCACTTCCCAAAGGGATAAAGGTCTGTGAGGGCCTACTGAAACAGGGAAATACTGTGTGTGGAGACCTGGTTTTTGTCAAGCCCTGTGAAATCCTTTTTAGCAAATCCTTCCAGTAGCGGATGTATGGCCAAGGCATGCTCCCTTGGAAGGTTGCTGCCCGGCTAAAATTTCTCTTGAGAGCATGCTAGGGGCCAGACAGCTTCCTTTCTCTGAAGAATCTTTGCTTTGTGAGCCTACTGCTCCACTGTGCATATGGTTCTTCACATTGAAGGGCATTGTTCTTATGTTTTTATGGGTTTTTCCCCCTAAAGTGCAAATTAAAGTGAGGAGAGAAAAATACCCAGTATTACAAGTTCGGACTTTCATAAAAATAGCAAGCATCAAATCTATTAAAGTATATTGCAGGCAAATAGCGTTTCTCTGAAGGCAGGTTTATTTAAATGAAATTATGAAGAGTCCTGGAACCCTCATTTTAACCGTGAGTTGTGACCACCTTGCTTATCAAACCTTTTATTAGAGTTGCTAATGAGAAGCTAAATCGACTGAATTAATTTCATCTCTTTTCTCCTTCCCTGACCCCGGTTCTGGAGATGTTCTTGAGCAGTGAAATGGCCGCAAGCCAGAGGAAGGGAACAGGAAATAAAGAGCCCAGCAGATTCTTGGATAATTGAGAGTGGTGTAAATGGCTTTCTGATTTACTTAAGTCATTAAAGTGTTAGGTAGGGGAAAATGGACCCCATTTTCTGCTTCAAATAGCTCCTTGAAATAGCCACTTAGTCTCTTGCCTTAGGTGAGTAACTTTCAGCTGCGTGAGGGATAATGGATCCTGATTTCATGTATTTCTTACTTGAACAGCTCCTAAGGGAAAGGGATATTTAACCCTGTTTTCCTCCCTTGATTTTCCAAAATGAGCTCAATTATTCAGTGTAATGTTTTAAAAGTAACATTTGTTGGTTCTATTTCATTATGAAAGTAACAATTCTCATTATGGAAAACACAGGGACACATAAGGAAGAAACGTCATCCATCCCTAATCCAAGCACCAAGAGAAAATTTTGCTTATTACCTTTCTTTTCTTAATAAGCAGAGATCATATTGTATATTGAGGTGTTTACTGTATCTTTTCTAAATTTAACTTGGTTTATTGATACATTCATATACGTGTGTAAATCATAAATATGATTACTGGATTTTTTTTTTTTTTGGTAGTGGTCCTTTCTTTTCCCTTTTTTCCTTCAGCTCCTAGTTCTACCTTTCCACACTATCCCTTTGTATTACCAAAACAGTATGTATCTTTTCACATTTTTCTCCATGTGCATAGATACACACACACATACACACACACAAATTTTGGAATGCTTTGTTGTTCATTGTTTGTTTTACAGAAATAGAATATTATATATACTTTAATATATCTTGCTTTTTCATTCTACCATATGTCATAGAAATGTATCACAGTCTATTGATGTAGCTCTTAATTCTTTTATAATGTTGTAAAATATTTCATCAATGCACAATGATTTATTTAGCCATTCCCCTATTAGTGAACATTTACTTTCTTTGCACGTTTCTGCCATTACATTCAATGCTGAAATCAACATGATTTTGTATACACCCTTATGTACTGTTGCTTTCAGTTTAGATATAGATGTAGGTAGAGGTATATAGGTATATATGAATGTTGAAATATATATTTATGTTAATAGATGTCACCATATTGATTTACAAAAACAGGCTGTTGTACTACACTGTTTGCTTTTGTATATAATATGTGAGATTATTATTTTCTTCGTATCCCTATCGGCAGTAGGTGTTATGGTTCTTTTGTAATATTGACAACCTAATGGATGCAGTTTCTTGGCTACTAGTGAGTTTCAGTATTATCTCAATTTTTTGTCCAATTAAATTTGTTCCTTATTCATATCATCTGCACATTTTCCTATGGGTTGTTTATATTTTTCTTAATTTCTAAGACCTCTTTGTATATTTTAGATTTTAGCCCTTTGTTTATCATCGTTGTTACAGATATCTTTCCCAAATATGTTTATATTGACTTTGTTTGTTTTTCTTTTTAATTATTTTTTTAGTAGAGACAGTGTTTCACTATGTTGGCCAGGCTGGTCTTGAACTACTGACCTCAAGTGATCTGCCCGTCTCGGCCTCCCAAAGTGCTGGGATTACAGACATTAGCCACTGCGCCCAACCTATATTGACTTTGTTGATGGAATATATTTCCATGTAATTGTTTGCATTTTTATATCCAAATATGACTCATATAGCTTCTGAATTTCGAGTCTTGGTTAAGATAGTTTTCTTGAAGATAGGTAACCAGTTGTATTGGGATAATATATTAAATTATCCCTATTTTACCCTGTGATCTCTTTGCAGCTATTAAATGTTTTATATGCTGGGATCTACTTATGGATTCTCTATTCTATTTCTTCTATTTGTCTATTCATGTACCCAAGTCATACAGATTTGATTACATTAGGCTTTAAAAAACATTTTTCTGGGGCTGGGCACGGCGGCTTACACTGTAATCCCAGCGCTTTGGGAGGCTGAGGCGGGCGGATCACTTGAGGTCAGGAGTTCGAGACCAGCCTGGCTAACATAGTGAAACCCCATCTCTACTAAAAATACAAAAATTAGCCAGGCGTGGTGGCACACGCCTGTAATCCCAGCTACTCGCGAGGCTGAGGCAGGAGAATCACTTGAACCCAGGAGGTGGAGGTTGTAGTGAGCCAGGATTGTGCCACTGCTCTGCAGCCCAGGGAAACAGAGTGAGACTCTGTATCAAAAAAAAAAAATTCTTGGCTGTTTGTTGTCACTTGTTCATACACACAGATTTTAAGATCACTTATATTCACCTACCTTTCTCAAATACTAGTGGAATTCTAATGAGAATTGCCTTAAGTATATATTTCAATTTTTAAATTATATGGCTCCTTTTATCTAAGAAATGGTATTTCTTTCCATCTGTTCACATCATATGTGTTTCAATTAGATTTATCTTTTTCTTCCTATCTGCTCAATGCCTTTCTTGATGCATTTATTCCTCAAGAATTAACAGCTTTTCTGCCGGGTACAGTGGCTCATGCCTATAATCCTGGCACTTTGGGATGCTAAGGTGGGCATATTGCTTGAGCTTAGGAGTTTGAGACCATCCTGGACAACATGGTGAAATCTTGTCTCTACCCCACCACCAAAAAAAAGAATAAAAAAAGAAAAAGAATTAACAACATTCCCTCTCTCCCCCAACCACCCCGTAATGAATGGAATATTTTTCCCCTTTCTGTTCCTAAGTGCTTTTTGCTAGAGTAGGAAAAGATTGTTGATTTTAAAAAATATCTTATATCTGGCTATCTTACCAAATTCTCTTGTTCTTGTAAATTTTATTTTAGTTTTATCTCTTCTTTTCCTTAGTCATATCAGTTATTTCATTTTCTTATTGCATTTGCTAGAAATTCAGAGTTAAATAAAAATTGTGCTGATGGGTTACTCTTGCCTAAAACTGATTTTAAATGGAAATATTTTCTGTGTTCCTTCATATTTGCTGTTGGTGTTTGTTAAATAGTCTATTATACTTAAGTAGTTTTCACATTTATGTAGAGATTTTAAAATATTTATTTATTTAGACAGTGTCTTGCTTTGCTGCTAGGATGGTCTTGATCTCCTGACTTGAAGCAATTCTCCTGCCTCGGCCTCCCAAAGAGCTGAGATTACAGGTGTGAGCCACTGTGCCCAGCCAATATTTTTTAAAAGAAGGAAGCGTAGCTGTGTTTTATCTAATGCTTTTTCTACATCTGTTGATCATATGAGATTTTTTCATTTAAATTTTTGATACAATAAATTACATTGGTAGATTTTCTGGTTTTGAACTACTCTTACATTGAAATACACCCTGCTGATAATAGTATATTATTATTTTGATACATTGCTGTATTCTATTGTCAATATTTTGTTTAGAATCTTGCTTCAATATTCCCGAGATTAGAGTCATGTTTTTCTTAGTGCTCTTTTCTTCAAGTTTAAGGATTGAGGCCAGGTGTGGTGGCTCACGCCTGCAATCCCAACACTTTGAGAGGCTGAGTTAGAAGGATTGCTTGAGGCCAGGAGCTCGGGACCAGCCTGGACAACATATCAGGACTTTGTCTCTACAAAAAAAAAAATAAATAAATAAAATTAAAATTAAAATTAACAGGGCATGCTAATGTGTGCCTATAGTCCCAACTACTTGAGAGGCTGAGGCAGGAGGATCACTTGAGCCCAGGAGTTGAAGGCTGCAGTGAGCTATGATTGTGCAGCCGAACTGCAACTTGGGCTGCAGAGCAAGACTCCATCTTTAAAAAAAAAACAAGTTTAAGGATTAAAGTTATGGTGGCTATGTAAAATATACTGCAGAATGTTCCTTCTTTTTCTCTTGCCTGGAATACTTTAATTACCGTTAGAAATTGTATATCCTGACTGGGCGTGGTGGCAGGTACCTGTAATCCCAGCACTTTGGGAGGCTGAGGCGGCCAGACCACCTGAGGTCAGGAGTTCAAGACCAGTCTGACCAACGTGGTGAAACCCTTTCTCTACTAAAAATACAAAAATTAGCTGGGCATGGTGGTGGGTGCCTGTAATCCCAGCTACTTGAGAGGCTGAGGGAGGAGAATCACTTGAACTTGGGAGGCGGAGGTTGCAGTGAGATGAGATCTCACCACTGCACTCCAGCCTGGGCGACAGAGACTCTGTCTCAAAATAAACAAACAAACAAACAAATAAATAAATAATGTATCCTTTAAAGGTAAGATAAAACTTATCTGTGAAGCCACCTGATCTAAGAGTGCCATTTTTCAATGGGTAGACCCTTAATCACCTTTCTGATGTGTTCTGTGGTAAGC